GTTCCTATGGGTTTTAATGTTTCAATTAATGGAATCTAGCATTTTAGTTCTAGAGTTCGATGTGTTTTATTTTTTAGTGCCTAAAATTTGGGTTTGGTTCCTTTAATAAACTATCACTTTTGATCTCTAACATTTGAATTTAATTTTTGATTGGTCGTTACCTAATTCATTTCAGAGATTTAAAATGTATTTTACCTAATTCTTTATTATTGTTCATTTATATTGGTTTGTATATCCTCTATTTAATAGATGGGGGTAGATTTTGTTTAATAATTTAATGGGACGAAAAATAAGTTATGTGGAAAATAATGTAGGAATTTCGTTCCAAATGGTTGTGGTTGGAATTAAAGTCATTTTTCTATACCTCCTGTTTTGCTCCTTCCGAGAATGCACGACAGCAACTTCTAAACATGGGAGCCGATAAAGAGAAGTGCATCAATTCTCGGAAAAGAGGGACAACTTTCCCTACAGGATTAATTCGAGAGCTCCCAATTTGGATTTCAACACATTTCCTCAAATTGAATAAATCATAAATCATAACAACACTAATTAATGAGATTTAAGCCAAATCTATTGAAACTAATCAAGTCTGAATTTTTCTTAATTAAAAGATTGCAACCAAATCAATTTAAACAAAAAAAAAGCGTGAACTTTATTTAACTTTTCCTCATTGTTTTGTACATTAAGATTAAACACTAATTAGATTCGTTAAAACTGAGTATAGTTTGATATCCGTATGATATGTATATGTATACACATTATAATATAAATTAGAAACAAAAGTGAACTCAGAAGGAGCGGTATCCTCTTTTGTAACAATTCTCAATATCAGAATTCTGACTTTCCGTTACCACTGAATCTTCTTTACCTTCCCTTCTTCTTCTTCTTCTTCTCATGCTACTGAATTTAGCTTTCCGTACGTAGTGCTCAATCAACATCCCAGTTAATCCAATGAACACAATCCCCAAAATGCCCCCGCTCGCTGCAACAATTACCACCGGGACCCACTCCGTCTTGTTACCCTTGTGGGGGATGATGACCCAGACGCCGGCCACGTACCCCGTCCCCATAAACGACGC